GAGGTTTACAAACATGAGAGGTCTGAGAAGCAGCAGAGAGCCAGGATTTTTCAGAACTAGGATGAGGACTTGCCCCCTTTTCTCTCCCTCATTCTTTGCAGTGGGAAGGTCTCTTTCAGCTCATTCCTTGGGGAGCTGGGCAGATAATTCTCTTCATCTCTTATCTCACACTCAAATCCCTGAAGCCAAAGGATGATATGCACAGAGCCCAATGTCCTTGGGCATTTCTGCTGTGTGGAGGGGAAAGAAGGTTGAGGTCAGAGCAGGAGATGTCTGCAGTCTGAGAGGAAAGAGGTGAGGGTCTTTCTCCCTCCACATTTTGGCCAAAAGTAGTAAGAAAGGCTCCTGTGGCCCCAGAAAGCATGGAGGAGGCATGGGAAAGGTGAGAAAAGGGGACTGGAGCTGGGGTGAATCATCAGCAATGGTTAGTGAGAAGATGAGAAGATGATCCCATCACTCTCAGCTCTGTGGGGCTGTTGTAGAGCCCGTATTTGGCCCATCATCAATTCCTACCCTCATAGGCAGGAAGGGGAGACACCAGAATAGACAGTGGAGACACCAGAGTAGACACCAGAGTAGACAGTGGAGGATAAGAGATCAAAATTGATGCTCTTGGGATGGGACCTCCATCTCTTTCTCTCAGGACCCACCCCCCAGCACCACCAGTGCTTTCAGAAGAGGGTCTTCTCCTCTCTCCTGGTAATCCAAAATGCTTGGGACCCTTGTGGCAGGTAGTCTTCTCCATCAACAGTGTAGTAATTCATCTGAGCTCCAGCCATCAACAGTGGACATAGACACTCTGAGTGACCCCTGCAAGCAGAAACAACAGTTTGCAAGCAGAAACAACAGTTGGCAACAAGGATGAAAATTTGCTTAAAATAAAACAAAACAAGACATCAGCAACACCAATATCAAGGAAGGCACTGCAAGCCAACAGGCGTGTGACAGAAAAGGCATCAGAAAATCCCACTGAAGATCTGCACCCAGCTGAGCCGTTCCGTTGCTTATCCAGAACGATGTGGATGAATAGAAACTGGAAATCAGAACGCAAAATCTTTAGCCATGCAAGTACAGCGTGCAACAGCAATAAATCCTGTTGTACCTGTCGCTGGAGGGAAGGAAGAACTCATGACTTACAAGACTTGGAGCTGTCTTCTCTAAATGGGGAACTGTAGGCATTGCCCTTCTTCCTTGCCATGTTCATTACATTGTTGGTGGCTGTGTCTGCTTCTGGTAGAGTCCTAGGAGCCATCTGGTCATCAAGTTTCACCCTATGCCACAGATCCTGTCACCACCTGCAGGAGATGACTTTTCTAACAAGATGAGCTTCTTGCAGTGGGAATTGCATTTCTAGCAGATTTTAGCAGTAGATAACTGATCCCATGGGATCAGAAGCCTCCCATACTGTGTGGGAGATGGAAGAATAGTAAGCAAATCTAAATCATCTCCAAGCAGCCCAGAGAGTCTGTTTCCATTAGCATTATGCACCTCAAAAGAAGGTGCAACAATTGGGTAAACAGAGGACACTTTACTTGCAATTTCATATCTCTACTGTGCACTTTATAGTTTGAGACTGTCTTAAACACCTGAAGTGTGCAGGTTATTGCTTCTCCCCAAATCTCTTTGCAGATTCCCAGGGGTCCTGCACTTAACCACAAAGAGATGTCCCATCACATTCTGAATGTTTGCTTCTGCAAACAACAGGCATTTTCTGAGCAAAAATCTCCAAGGTCTAAATTCAGAGTGTGGTAGACATTTTGCTTATCTGCTTTGAATTTGTTGCCTTTCTTTGTCAGAGAGAAGCAGAAAATTGCAGCTAGACCCTGTCCTTGCATTTCCATCTGCAAGGTGCAATTGGACAGAAAAGAGACCATGACAAAAGGCAAGGCTTAGCAGAAGGGAGAAAGATTGTTGTCTCTTGGTTGTGCTGTTGCAGAACCAAGCCAATATTTGTCATAAAATCTGCCCAGCACCTCCCCAAGAAACGTACCGAGTGGCTTGGCCTTATTAACACTGGTGTGGGAATCTGAGAATGGTGTGTCTCAGAAGCTGTTGTGCCATGAGACCCTTGATGGTGTCATCTGCTTCTCCTTCCTCTGATGTCAAGGCTGGGAGACCTGAAGACACTCGTATACCATCATGAGTGTTTAAATCTCAGCATGTCCCAGTGCTGTGGGCTCTTAATAGCCACCCTTGGGTCCTGTGAAAACTGGAGAGGTGAAAGTCCTTTTGATCCAGTTTCTCCATTCCTTTCCATGCCACAGCTGCTATTGCTTGGGAATGTAGCAGATACCCCCTTCCTTGAGAAACAACTCTCTGATGCAGAAGGATTTTCCTGAGACACAGTCCTGATTTTCCCTGTTTCCCCAGTACAGTAAGCTCTATAGTACTGCTAAGACTAGGATGGCAAAATGCCAAGCTAGGAGACATCCCTGTATGTTCAAGGGCAAAGTTATATCTGGGCCATATGGGTTCAATTTCCTTAACTTCAGCAGCAAGTGTAAACCTGACCCTAATGTACTCGATGTAAAGGAATATGAGTATCACTTGTCATCTGATATCCACTAAGGCCCGCCCTTCTGCACACCGTGAATAGGGTGAGCAGGAAGATCCAGACCAGTTGCTTCGGTAGACTGGTTTGAGGCAAGCCCATTATGGTGGTGGAGGGTGAGAGGAAGTGGAGAGAGTAGTATATGCGATCCCCCAAATTTATTTTTTAAGAGGCACGCCATGGTGAGGGCATCCCTTGCTCTGCTTGACGGACTTGGCTGCCTGTTGGGACCTACTGCAGCAGTGAGTTTCACAGATCTCATCATGTTATGTTGAAGCTCTTTGCTCTTCTCATGCATTTGCAGAACCAAAGAGACTAGCTGAGTCATGGCATTTGGCCGATGAATATTGCAGGTAATCACATGCATCGTGTCCCCCATGCATCCTGTTCCTGCTGTGGTCTGATCCCTAGGTCTCCGGGATGGGGACATGGTGAGAAATCCCTCGGGCCTCTCTTCTCCATGCTTTCAAGGCTGAATTTGTCACTGTTGTCAAATGTGAATTTGACAATGCATGGACGTTTGAACCTTGGGGTCATGCAGATGAAAGCAGAGTCCTCTTCCCCATTCCCAAAACCTGGAATTTAGTTTATGCCCCATTGCTGCAGTGTGAATGGGTTTCCCTTATTCCATGACACTTCCTGGTGCTTTTCCCTTGCAATGAGCTTCTTTGTCCAAGGGGGCAGGAGGGATCCGGACTGCCTCCCACTCTGCAAATTGCAGCACAGGGAAGGTGAACATCCCTCTCTGTCCTCCTCCATGGAGGTCCGGCTTTCCAGCTCCCTTTGCCCAAACTGCTGTCAGGGCTGGAGGATGAGGAGGGGATACAGCATCTTTGGGTGGCCTGGAGAGGCAAGAGAAAATAAGACAAGCAGAGAAACTCCCCAAAGGCTGGAAAGAGAACGGGGGGAGATTTCTATTCTGAGCATGCACCATGTTAATCCAGCATAGCCGCCTGTCGGCTAAAAACACGCATTTCAGGCCCCAGCTGCCCTGGTCCCTGCTTAACCAGAGCTGTCACAGATGCCTCCAGCCAGGAGAGCTGCAGCACTGGCCGGAGTGTTGCAGGGAGCTGGTTCCCGCACTCCTTTGTGGCCATGACCTGCTGCTGAGTTCCCCCAAAATGAACGATTTCCTCTCTTTTCACCTTGCCCCCAAGAAGTTTTTTTGGGGGTTCACCTCCCATAAAGCCTTAGTATGAAGAACCCCACCACGTGCATGTGCATGGAGGAGCCAGAGGGGATGCTGTAGAAGTGGCAGGGGGAAGTGAGGAGCATCAAGGGTTAAACACTGTTGCTTCCTCCCGCCTCGGTACAAAGCTGGGATGCACGGGAGCTCGGATGGGGCAGGGGAGATTCTGCCTGGTGGTTCCCACTGCATCCTGTCCCCCCATGTTCCAGCAGCCATGCAGCCCCATCCCCTCTCCTCCCTGCACATCCTGCTGCGGGGACCCCGCGGGTTTGGGCAGGGATGTGGGAGGGGGGACCTGCCTCCCCACCCCCATCCTTATCCCCCTTTTTGCTTCTGCTCCCTTTTCACCTCCTGGCTTAGCTTAGGGCTAAGCTGTCCTGAGGAGGCTGCACTCTGCAGGCGCCAACGTGCTCCGGCTCTCGCTGGCTCCTTTGCTCCGTCCGTCCATCCATCCATCCATCCATCCATCCATCCATCCATCCATCCTTCCTCTCCTCCTATAGGCTAGCGGAGCAGCAGTGTGGCACTTAGGGTCCTTGCCTATAGCTGCCCGTTTTACCAGGCTCCGATCCGTGCGTGTGCGCGTGTGTGTGTGTGCGCGTTTTATCCCTCCCTCCCATCCCTCCCTCTCTCCCTCTCTCTCTCTTGCTCTCTCTCACTCTAATGTGTGATCTGGAAAGCTTATAAAAGCCTGATGTAATCCTTAATGCAGCCCCTGGCTACAAGGACTGGATCTAGTTTCACAGGGAGAGATTCAGAAGCAGAATTAGGGGAAAAAAAGAGAAAAGAAAAAAAAAAAGTGGGGTGGGGGGGGAGAAGAGAGAGTAGGAAAGAAAAGCAGACGAGTGGATTTTAAACAAACATATCTTTCCAGAGAAGACCATTCTCTCTCCTTTCGCTGCTGGGAAAGCTACTCTGAACCCTGCCGTATATCTACTTTTTAAAATTATTTTCTATTTTGTATTTTTTAAGAAGAAGAGGACGACTTGTCTGCTTGGATCTAATGATTTATTGGCTTGCAACTGCGTTTTTCCCCTTGCCTCAGGATTCCTCCGAAAAAAAAGGCTTAATTCTTTGCTGCTTTTCTCTTCCACCTGCCTGTCTGCAGAGACACCAAAGGTTCTCCTCTCCTCTCCCTCCCCAGTCCCATTTCTTTTAGGTTCCCCCCCCATCTAATATATATATCTATATACACATATACGTATATATATAAGTGTGTGCGTGCGCTCGCGCGTGTGTGTGTGTGTGTATATATATATATATATATATGTAAGAGAGTGGAAGGAGCAGAGGGAGAGAGAGCGCTGCCATCCTATTTGGACTTCTCACGCTGCCCAATGTTGGTCTGGTTACCCCTGGATATGTTGCTGGTTTCCATTTGGAATTTGACGACGACAAGACGGAGGATATAAACCCCCGGGGAGGTGTGCAAGGTAAGAGGCTCCTGCCTTTCCTTCCTTCCTCTGAGGAGGGAAAGGGATGGGGATCGGGGACAGATTGGCTTCCCTGGGCTGCGCTTTGCAGGGGTCTCTCCATCCTCAGCGGGATGCAGGAGCAGGGATGCGGTGGGGATGCTCCGGCTCCTCTGCCCTTTGGAAGTGGCCCCGGGAGGAGGGTTTTGCTCTGAAATCCCAACCGACTGGGCATCATCATCACTCTCCGACCGTGGGAAGTTTCAACTTCAGAGCTTACGGGTCCTGTGGGCAAACAGGAGGAAAATACGGAATGCCTGAAGGAAACAGCGGCGAAAAGCGGGAGAAATACGTTTGTATCCTAGGGAAATAAGCTTGGGGGAGAGCTGGCTTGTTCCTTGGAGGGGAAAGTTGAGGAGTGGGGGGGGAGGGAGAGAGAAGGCAGCCAGGAGAGGGAAGGGGAGCTGGGGACCGAGCAGCGCCGCAGTGGCAGCCGGGGCTGAGCTTCCAAGAGCCGCGGTCCCCACGCTGTGGATCAGTACTTTGCTCCACAGTACAAGGAAAAACATTGGTTTTTGTTGGTTTTTTTTTTTTTTTAAAAAAAAAAAAAAAAAAAAAGAAGGGTTTAGACTGCGAAAGGTCGCATAGCCCCGTTGTGCCCGGAGCGGGGCTGAGAGCATCCAGGCATCAGCCTTGCTGAAGGAGGGGGAGAAGGAGTCTCCATCAGGGATGCGTAATTACGAAGCATCTCTCTCTGAATCACCCTGTGTGGGAACGAACCCACAAAAAAATCCGTCTCTCCCTTTTCTCCCCCCCCGCCCTCCCCCTCTCACCCCCCCATCACCGCCCCCCTTCCCTGACACTCGCCGCTGGAGAGGGGCTGGAGATGGAGCTCCAGACTTTTCGGGAAGAGGTGCTTTGCCGGGAAGGAAGAGAGGGAAGGGGTGGGAGAAGCAGGTGCGTGTCGGTGGGGAGGGGGTTAAGGGACTTTTCAGCGCGCCCCCCCCCCACACACACACACCCTCCCCTGATGCGGAGGGGCATCGGGGCTGGAGACATCGCGCTGCAAAGCAACTCGGCGAGGGCAGTGCTTGGGTCTCCCATTCCGCTCCGGACAGGCATGGAAAGCTCTTGGACAGGGGGAAGGAGGTGCTCAGGAGCAGGACAGCAGGGCAAGGTCACCCCCCTCCCTCTCCCCACCTCGCCATCCCTCCATCCCAGGTCCCATTCCCGGGTCTGCCGAGCGCCGTGGCCAACTGAAATATAATGGCTGAGGGGGGAGAAGGAGGAGGAGGAAGGGAAAGAAGGGAAGGGAATAGAAAGCGGGGGGTGATGGCGAGGAAGAGCGAAGCTACTTTGACAGATGCCAAAACCTGCCTGCGCGGCTCAGCCAAAATCGCAGCGCCCCTAAAGCGGCCACTGCCGTGCGGGGGACCAGGGGCGGCCGGGTTGGGGGGGGAACCTCCTCTCGTCTCCGCTCCCTTTACCTGTTGCTTTCCTACGGATTTTGCTCCATCCCAGCCATGAAAAGAGCTGGGAGGGATGAGTTTCCCCCCTGCCCTGGGTAGCTAGGGAGGACGGTGTATTAATGATGATGACTCTGCTTTGGCTGCTGTCGAAATATCTGTATTATCTATTATCAGCCGAGAGACCAGGCTGGAGCTGGGAGCTCATCCAAAGCCCCGGCTGCTAAAGGAAACAAACAACTCCCCGTGCATATTAAGCGGATCCCTAATTAATTAATGACTCATTAACCTGCGTCCCTCCCCGCAGCCCTTGGCGGCGCCCAGGACCTCGCTGAGGAAGAGGAGGGAGGTCCCGAGGTTGTCACCCGCGGAGCGGGGTTGGGGGGGAAGATGCTGATGAATCGCACCAGGTCTCAGGCCCTGGGGGCACCGCCGGGCGAGGGGGCAGGAGTGGGGAGGGGGGTGCAGGAGAAGGAGGACCCCTCGCTAGAGCGAGTTCAGCGCGGTCCCTTCCTGCCTTCTCCGGACCAGGGCAAGGACTGGGACAGGGGGGATCCCATGTGATCCCACCACTGTGATGCTTGGGATGGTGGCCCAGACCCCTAAGTAGAATAATAATAATAGGATCCGAGATTCCCCCTTCCTTGCCCCTCACCCTTATTCTAAGACCTAAAACGGAATGGAGATGGACGATTAGCGGCGAGGCGGCTGCGAGGCAGTGGGTCCTTGTTTGGGGAAACTGAGGCAGTTTGCGAGCTGGGAAGTGGCGTGTGGGTGGCAGTGGTGGCTCCACGTCCCCGAGGAGCAGCCCAAGGTGTGAGTGTGTGAGAGTGTGCGACAAACGTCACCTTTTTGCACCCCTTCCCCCCCAACTTACAATCCTCCCCCCGTAGCATAGGCTCTGTCGCCGATGCACTGGAGACACTGGGAAGGAGCGGGAGAGCACCGCGATGCCCCGCAGGGGTGTCGTGTCCCTCCCCCGCGCACCCCGACACCGCTCCCAGCCTCACGGCTGAGGCGGGCGCGGGGGGGCTCCCGGGGGCCGCCAGGGCTTGCGGCGAGCGGCGGGGAGGTGGCGCTCGCCACCCGCCTATCGCCGGTGCCCGCGGGGCTGCAGTCGCCGGAACCCCCCCGAAACGGCCCCGACCGTCACCCACCCCCCTTCTCTGGGAGGTTATTCCCGCAACTGCCCCGCAACGGGGATTTTATTTCCCCCACACCCCAATTCGCTTATTCCGGGGATTTATTTCCATCGCCTTCCCGTGGGATATTTTTGTAATCCTCCCAGTGCTTTTTTTGCACCTCCTGTCCAATTTTCCCCCTCTTCTTGCAGATCAGCATCCCCGGGAGAAGCCAGAGGGTCGCTCCCGGCAGACCCCGCTGCCCATGGGGCTGGCGAGTGGCTCGAAAGAGCAGCTCCACTCGCCTCCCCCTGCCCAGCAGCGACTTGGCTGCTGCGGGAGGAGGAGTCCTGCTCCCTGCCTGTCACCCCACTTTGGTCCCCATGGGTGGGCAATGGAGTGGCCAAGAGCTCCTGGGGTTTCCATGCCCATCCAGGATCAGGACCTTCCATGCTCATCCCAGGCAAAGATATTGGAGGAGGCTTCCCTGTCCCCCCTCTCCTTTTCGGGGGGAAGGAGAGGTGTAAACACTGCAAGTGCATCCTGAAATATCCACCTTCTCCCTGAGCTGAAGTGGAGCATGCAGGAAAACCCTTGTCACTGATACCTGTTGCAGGATATTGGCTCCACTCCTTAATTAGCTTCAGGAAACCTGTGTTGTGTTCAGCTAAAGAGTCAAATCCCTTCCCTGGGCATGGTCACAGATCCCAAGCCAGAAGAGGTGCAAAGGGAGGTTAGTATATGTATTTTTTTTTTCCTGCAAGATGGATGACAGGATGCCTGGGTAACTCGCTCACCTCCTCTCCTTAGAGAAAATTCAGCTCCCTGCGCATGCAAGAGCCTTCAAAGTGAGTGGAAATTGGCACCTGGCTGGGAGGGTTGCAGAAAATCTGCCTCTCCTGGTGTCGCAGTGCTTACTGGAAGAGGTTTAACTTGTCTGTAGGCAAAGCACCCTTCCCATGGTGCCTTCCCCAAATCTGATGGATTTTCCCCACACCTGGGGCTGGTGCTTAGGAGAAGGCAAGGAGGGATGCTCTGAAGTGGGGGAAATGGGAGGAAGATTCTGCAGACTAATGTGGGGCACTCGAGGGCTTGGAGAGCTGAAAGGCCCCTTCTGACTTAATCTTTATATGGGGATGGATACTCAAAGTCCTAAATTCACAGTCCTTTAAGTCCTTGAAGTAACTGAAATCCAAACTTTTCCCTAAAATGGAGATTGAATGGGTTGGCTCATGTAAAGTGCATACCTTTGCATATCCTTGCATGACTGGCTTTTTAAGATATTTTGCAATGTTCTGAGATGACAAAGTACAACTACACACACATTCAAAAAGAAAAAAAAATTAAAGGGAAAAAAAAAGAGAAAAAAGAAAATTTGTAGCAAAGGAGATCCCTTCAGAACATCCCTTTTTCCTTGCATCTTGAGTTTAGAAATTCCTCTTGGTGCCCCTTAGAGCAAAGGGTTTGTATTAGTGTGATTATGCTGAGATAATCTGTCACGTTGCTGCAGGAAGCTCTTTAGGGAAAAAAAAAAAGATAATATTTTAAATCAGAGGGCTGCTAGATTGGTGACTCTGTCTGGCAAAGACACACATCACTGCCCCCTTTATGAAAATTTAAATTGGTTACCTCTGTCATAGAAAATGAGAGATGATTTGCTGATTTTTCTTTGTTGGAGTGAATCCCTGCCCCCTTACCACCCATATTATCAAAATTAAACTAGGGATATTTTCTTAGTTTCCCTCTTCTATTCTGTTTGCATTTCTTTTTCTGAAATATTCCTTCATAAAGCATTGATCAAGGAGGGACCAGATGAAGAGAAATGAGCTGTTGAATCTGCAAGCTCTGCTATGGCTAATATTACACATTACCCCTGTTACAAGGGGGCTTGGGGAAAGAAAAAAAAGTATTTGGAGGAAGAAAAAAGAGAGCTCTCATAAAGAAATTTGGGCTTTCCATCCATTTATAGCATTTTGGGATAAACTCTTCATTGAAGCAGATGGTTGAAATACAATGTCATCCATAGTATGATGACCTGTGCTGTCAACAGAGGTTAAGTATATAGAAGAATATAAAGTATGCAAAATTTACAGTGGATAGTGAATATACCAGTGACCATCTCAGTTAGTAGGGAAGTGGTTTGATCCAGGTAGAGTTGCTGCTTGCAGACTGGATGTGGCTTGAGATGTGGGTGGATGAACCTTGCATATACCTGAGACACTGCTTTCTGCATGTCATATACATGTATCAGTAGATTATATTTCCAGACTCTTTTATTGAATGTCTAACTTTACTAAGGGGTCAGCCTTGTGACACCTAATCCCACCATTTGGGCGCTCCTACCTGCACTCTCAAATCATGCATTGTCGTCAGAGTGGCCTCATTAATTGGAGAGGTTTCCTCAATTTTTGAACTCAGTCGTCCTACGACAAAG